TCGTGAACTCGTATTACTATTTTTGATGGAAATTTTTTACCCTTTGACGATGAAACCATCCGAATTAATCTTGGATGCCTAAGAACCCGAGTAACCTTATGATTTGGCTTACAGAACTTCGTAAGTAAGCGTAAAGTGAAGGGGATATAAGACGGGAGATGATTTAGTTTGAACCGCTGTAACCAAAAAGAGTGTGCTATGTAAAGCCCAGGGTGGCATCTTATCGAGAGAATGAATGCATTGCATTTACTGCGTCTGGCTTCGGGGAAACTGATCAAACTGAGTACTTGACCCTTCATTAACGAGGCATCTGCACAAATTGTGTATTCTTGAATTGCTGGCTGCTTTTGCGAGGTCCAATTTACAGTATATCCACATTACATTGTTACTACTCTTATAAGGAGTTATGGTCCTGCGTTGCTCTGTCGGTTGGGCATGAAGTCAAACTGTTGCTTAACTCGGTTGGGCATATAGTTTTGACAGTATGGTTACTAAATCTGGAAGTGGGTTACCACTTTAATCCCGGATGGCCTTATGTGCTACTGCATGGCTTTAGTCGCGTAACCATCGAAAAACATCAGCATCTGATATGTTGATCCTTAGACTCGTCAGCTGCGTGTTTTTTCTCAAGTAGTGATCTCATTGCTCATCCCATGATGGTAAATGTGTCGTTCACCCTCTTCATTGGGTGCCTTAATGCCGGTCCCGAAAAGCGCTAAACACTGCTTCTGTCACTCATGTGCGGCTATCTGACTCCATCTAATCTAATAACGCCTACTTGTTTGTTGATCCTTTGCTGTCAGCTGATGATGCTCTGGTGTTGACAACACCGATGCGGAAAATGAGTGTAGCAGATTCACAATGATTTCACTGCACAGGTGAACGGATGCCACTTAGGTGGTGCTGAAAGATAGGACAATTGAAACGACCATGTTTTGTAGCTACAACATTCAGAATCCTGTAGACCAGCGGTCACCAAACTTTTTGCGCCGCGCGCCGGCTAACTAGAAAAAATGTCTAGCGCGGGACGGATAAGTGACCTAATGATTTCTGTGGGCCGCGCAATCCTTATGCGCAAAACTTAAGAACCGGAACGGATATTCTGAGACAGAAAAGCAAAGCAAGTGCGACACGATGTCCGCTTTTCTTTTGTTCGTATTGACTTAGAAACATAATAAAACCCCTAATTACATACCAGGAAAACACAGTACTAGTGGTCACTGGTGGAAATACAGCACATCAGTTACTAGGAATGTCCTTCTTTATATTCGACTTATGTATATATATATATATATATATATATATATATATATATATATATATATATTTATAGACCCGCTACCTTTCGAGTGTACATTTAACCGAAGACTTTGGCTGAGGACCCGAGTCGTTCTCCTGTCAGGTGTGGGCGCCTTGCAAGTATCCTAGTCCACCCTCTTCGGAGGTTAGAAGGTGGTCGATGGACCAATTCCCGTAAAACTTAACCATGGGAGACAACAGGTCCACAGGTTATAAGCTCACCGCTCGCTTGGCGTAGAGCAGGAGTGCCACGCATTGTCTCTGACGGTGGGAGCGCACTTCCGGGTGCTCAGTGGCTTACTATTGCCCACCGCAAGCCAGGCGGCCCCTGATCAAATTGGAGCAAACCCGCCAAACCATCCTGCGTTTGGACGTAGTCGAAGGTGCGTATCTTAATGCGGTCACAAAACACAAATGAATCGTTCCAGAACTTCAAAGACTGTGTAACCGACCTCAGGCAGATCCCAATCTGTCCCTGCAGTCACATTCCCGAGCTTGATCTGCTCCCTGCTGCCTTGTGAGTCAAAGGCTACGGGCGGAGTTGCTCAAGCAAACCTCCATAACACCAAGCCTTGTGGGTCAGGCTATTGAGCCAATGGCTCCGAGCGGAGTCCCTCAAACAAGCCTCCGAAGCACAACCACCACCACGTCTGCGATTACCCACCAATGCAATCGTATGCCTGCGCGCAAAGCACTCAACATCGGGTGCTGGAACGCGCGCTCACTACTGGACCGGAACTCGAGTGAGCGCCCCGAGCGACGCAATGCACTCGTCGCGATGGAACTGGCGTGCTGCGATATCGATATTGCGGCGCTCAATGAGACTCAGTTTGCTGAGCAAGATAAGTTGCATAAAGCTGGTGCTGGCTATACATTCTATTGGGTGGGCAACGCTACCACAGCACAACATGAACATGGGGTTGGATTTGCATTATCCGGTCGCTTAAATGGCCGCCTGTTAAGTGAACTAACAGGCATCAGCGTGCGACTGATGACTGTTCGCCTAAGACTCGGAAGAGGTAAGTTTGCCGCTTTTATCAGCATTACGGTCCGACTATGTGTTAGAAAATACTTTATTGCTCTTGGCTCCGATGCACCAAAGAGGCCCGTGCATGTGGCGACCCGAGGTTCCCGTCACATAGGCTCAGCACAGGTAAACAGCAATGATCACGCAAGATTCGTTAACTGTCACGTATAGATGTCATTTCACATAACCCGTATGTGTGAGTTACAGCCACTGAGTAATGATATATGGAATCGCAATCATCTTTACATGGTCTAATCGATATGGTAAATGAGGAATCTTGCCTAGCGGTACGAAATAGATGGTGCGGGTGCCTGGTTCGCGGAAACAACAATTTCATATATCACAGGACTCGAAGAATAATTCTCTCTCTCCAGCAGAGGGAAAATGTGACACTCTCTAAGCCGCAAGAACGACCATAATTGTTTACAGAGGAAGGATGGATCATGTTGACAGCTCGTTTGCTACTATTGTCGCTCAGAACCTGCAAAAGTGGATAATTAAACCAATCAATTCATGCATCGTACCAGTGTTGCGTTACTTCGCAGTATCTAACTCGATGGATGGAAGGATGAAAATCACAGTCCCAACTGTTGAGGATCTCAGAGACAATGACCTGAAGAGGGTGAACCAAGCATATTTTCACAGAGAAGTGCAGATCGCAGAACATCGATACTACACAGCAGGAGAATTGACCATAAACCCCTCTACCAGATTTAGTTTCGCTTTGCACTCTATCAAACGAGCAAGGCACCATTAGAGAATACATGGTATGAGAGAATTTTCATGGGATGGACACGAAAGACCACTTAAAACCGCAACGCTGTTGGGCGTGGCCGTGGGTACTATTCTGAATAGCGAAGTGGCCATTCGACAGGTGTGCTAACACGATTACCAGAAAAACCGTCAACATGACGCAAAGTTGCAGCCGAAGGGGATATATTAAAAACCACCTTACAACCGACTCACAACATATGAGGTGCAATGCATGGTGCAGATGAGGAGTTTCTTTGAGGTCGCAAGGTTAACGAGGAAAATGAAGTGGACGCCAAGAAGAACTTTTCCACTACATGTACGCAACAACGGGGAAAAGAGGCGGCTACGATTAGGACGGATTGAGGAAGGGCCTAGAGTAGTCGGTGTGTTAGTATGCTCTGCAATCGGATTATCCAGTTAAAAGGTAGATCGTAATTTTCTGTTTCTAAACAACTTCGAACGTTTACACAATGGACTGAATAAAGGAAACCGTTTGGATCTCCGTAGGTGCCAAGAGTTATAGCCCTGCGGTCAAGGCGACCGAGCCTCACCCGCTGGCTCCTGTATCACGCAGTTCCGTTTCAGGTCCGAGTGATAATAGTTGGTTATATTGGTGGATTGACTCGGAAGGACAGACGAGGGGTTAAGTCTATTCGAGAGATATCCACTAAGACAAATATGAACTGGAATAATTACAGGTTGTTGACGAACGTGTACATATATCCGCGTTCCCACATTGCCATTCAGAAGCGAAGGTGATCTTCTAAACGCCTGCAGATCTCCAGGCGATCAAGTTGCCGGTAATCTTTGTCACGTGAGTAATGCTGAGCCCACGATGCAAACACCAGGGCTCCTCTTTCACCCTGGTTGCTTATCGCATACACATAAATATGAGGCGTTGAGAGAACAGAGGACTGACCGCCTATTCCGTTTCCTGATAGGACAAACAGGGCACGAGTGCATCAAGGGTTGATACACCTCCTGTAGAGAATAAAGTTGAATTGTATCATTCGGAGACATAAACCATCGCCGCCGTAGGATCATGGAACGTCACACTGTCCCATCGAAAAACACTAAAATACACTGCGTGGAATGTGTTCAGTTGGGCAGTTGCATTATGCTTCTGATGTGCAACACTGTGCTTATTATCGTGTCACAGTATACTGCTGGGTATTGAGGAAAATAGGTTGATACTTGTAGAATAACACTTATAATGCTATTGGCAATATTCATCTTCGAGAAAAATTGTAAGCAATCAGATGATGGGAACCTAACTCACCTCGACTGGTCTTGCAATAACACCCACAACATGATTGGACTGAAATGCCGGTTAGCGAGGTGGATAGATGAGCAGGCAACCAGCTTACACCATACATGTACCAGAACCACTACCGTACCTGATCGGGTGGTGCGCCCAAGGCGTATATTCCAACATGGAAACGACCGATATCCCTGAGAGTGACAAACTTTAAGTTCGTCATTTGATTTAAACTCCGAGTAGTCCAGTTGCGTGGTGATGACGAGTTTTTCCTGCGATACACTGGCACTCACTCACTGGACCTTGAAATCCCTCGGCACGATAACTTGCAATCTCTTAGATTCGGTGGAATTCTGCAGTGATGTATACTTAAATGAACGAGTGGTGAATTTGACCTTGCTGAGATTACTCTTCATGCACTCTGTCAGACGCCTATGCAGGTGGCAGACATAAAATGTCGTATCTTGGTGGACAAACGGTGTAGTTATGTTTTAGCGTTGATGTGACTTTATGACATTCTTGTATCGACGTACTGTAACGGAAAAGACACCGTACTTCTGTTGTACTCGAACATAATTGATGTGAACCTTGAGTTAAAATCACTTATCATTTTTGTCTATATCAGATCAGTAATAGATATCATTTTCTCGCATCACCTTCCAGGCTTGCTGCTGAGGCGTTAGCCTTGACCGATAAACATTACGATTGCCCCGGAAATATCGAACTATCAGATCTGAATGCTGATGAGCCAAACATTGAGGCGGGTGATAACAACGTCAAAGAGCGAACGCCTGAACCTGATTGTCAACTGAGCCGAGAAAGATTAGAAGAAATCAGGGATTCATCTAAAGCTGATGAGTTGTCTTTGCGCACGAATCGAGTCCAAGTGACACCAAACAACACAGATGCTCGTGCGGTGAATGTAACGGAAGAGAAGGACAGCATTTTGTTCAGTATTCTCTCAGGACGCGAAGATGTTCGTACTGCATGTTTGCGAAGTGAACTATATCTGTGCTTCACTACTCATTCTACTTGGTTCAATGAAGCTGAGACGAGCTGTGAACAGAGACAGCCACTACATCTATTAAGACCAAAATTTCGCACAAATATCCCAGGTTCAAAACGCACTTATGACAACAGGTCCAATGTGGAAGTGGCTTCAATACACACAGAGAAACAGTATACCTGTAGTGTAGCTGGATCAAAAGTGAAGGAACAACGTGTGTCTCGGTCGCAACATCGTTATCAGGTTCATGGTCCTGGGGTAAAAATTGTCCCGACTGATCAGCCGTTAGATCTGTCCTCGTCCAGCAACAAAAAGCTGCGGGTAGCGAAAAGTTATAAGGAACGAACAAGACGGACTAAATCCAGTCGTTTAAAAAGGATTACTTCGTGCCAACGGAAACAAGGACCAAATTTCCACACTGACAGTGCTCTTCCCAAGGATATAAGCGGTAAATGTAGTGAATCGATTTCAAATGACGGAGCAATACTTGATAGATATTCATGTTCAGGACAGCGCTTGGACTTGGGATCACTGAACCCTTCAAGTAGGAGATCTAATTGTATTGCCAATTCCTTGAAAACCCAAGTCGATTTTAACACAACGCTTCGTAGCCGGTTTGCAGACTCTTTTCCATTCCCTCTCAGTTTAGCGGCGTCCATGTCGATTGTGGCCGCACTGAGTCCCTCTGTTGGTTCACGAAATAATGGACAAAGTACCACCGCGAGTCCTGTTTTGCCGCCAATGGGAAGTGATCCATTGATCGCCTCAAGACTGTTGCAACTTTTGACCCAGCGACTAAATCACGACAAAGCGTTGGCACAAATGCATCTTCATCCATCTAAGCTTTCAACCCAATCTCTAGTTCCTACCAATTTGGCGTTTGACAATATAAAGGATGCACAAGACTTTGACACTCGATCTGGATGTTGCCAAAGAACGAGCTTCACACAACTGACTGACACACCATATGCTGATGGTGGTATGGTTACAGGGAATGCGGAACACATGATGTCATCCCTACCGCTTGCAGATGTCTCAAAGTACGGATCAACCATAGATACTAAAACAAAGTTCGTTTCAACACTTGACATGCAGTTCCGGGAGTTTTACAACATCTTCAGTAACCTCAATTACCATCTCTCGCGTATACACAATGGAGCTCGTTCAGTGCTACAAATTCCGTCCGTCGCACAGAGACTCAGTTGTGCTTTTAATAACAGTGCCACAGCTCACGGGAATGTACTACCGAGCAATACTACTTTTAACCCGTCCACTGATTTCAAATCCTATTTAGGAGAACTGCAGACACAGTTATCTTCCGAGTGTCTCAATATGCCAAACTCGTACCTCATTGCACACTCACTGCTCAGACGTTTGACGCGGCTTATAAAATGTCCGGAGTCAACGTTGTTAAAGTGTTTGGATCATCTGTCGCATCGTCCGTTCTCCGACGAAAGTGCAACTGCGACAAGACAGCACACATTTGTGCGTCTCCTGAGCTCCACACTGTTGCATCTGACGCAATGCCCTCTCGAAGAGAGACTTGACTGTTTCAAAGCCAACTGGCATCAGGCAATGGCGCTGTGTGGTGAGGACTGTCCCGGTAAATTGATTTTACTCCTTCGGAACCGGCTGGCGCAAATAGCAATTTGCAGCCAAAGAAGTAGACTGGAAGAAAGAGAAAAGGGGATCCAACGAAAAGAAATACGATGTCAGGAAGTGGAGTTGACTCTGCACCGGACTGCCGAATTTGGCAAAACCCTGAAGCAGTTGGAGAGGCTGCGCGTTGCATTTGACCGCGCCCGCATGACATTTCCTGCATGTTTGCTTGTGTGTGTTACTTTTCTCTTACGCGGTAAGTGGACGACGCTAGGTTGACCGTGCTGTATGATCAAGCTTTCACCGAGCAATAACTCACAATTGATGAATTATCAAAAGTAGTCATAAATAAGCGATCTTCTAAGGATGAACTGATCTTCGTTGAGCAAATTAAAATCTAGCTCGTTTGTCCAGATGTCAGGCCCTGCTGGATTTACTAGGCATATATGTCTATAACCAAATCGGGTTCCGAAATTTCTGGCTTTAGTTAAGGAGTTATGGTATGGTTTTAAGTTTGCTGACTGTAATAAGAGTGGATAGTCACGCTAGGCTCCAATGAACTAGTGGCAGTACTATCTACTTGCTTTCGACGCGGTCACTTGTGAAGCGCTAATGATTCGCTGACTATGAGTTATAACGAAAATCGTGAACTTTGCGTTAATGAGTTTCACTTTTATAATACAACACTTGATGAGCATGAGGGCAATACACTGTGTATAATACAGAGGATTTGGCCAAATGTACTGATACAGCAGCGGGACTAGGTGGATTTATGCGAACTATGCGGCGGTATCAGCAGTACGCCGTTACGTCGTATCGATACCTCCTTACCACGCAACCACCACCACTGGTGTGCAAGATGAGGAGACTGCCAGATATCCGGCACCTGCGCCAGTTCAGTCATATGATATTTGGGATGCAACTCAGACACCTGAAACAATCGGCCACCGAGCAACAGTTGAAGTGGACCCATAAACGACTTCCTCACTAGCGCACTAACTCATGGTAGATGTCCTAGCATATTTAAGCAGAGTGCGAATTCCAGACACCACAAAAATAAGAATAGTTGCGGGTATCACGCAGACTTGGAGATGATTGTGTCCATTTGTTCGAGCTTTGTTTTTGCATACACTCGAGAATAATTCGAGAGTAGCTCATTTTGTTTATGAAACATATGGTATGAATACAAGTCGGACGAGTAAGGCACCAACGATGAATGTTAGGATAACCGAAAGGGCGCATGCAAACAAGAACTTAATACATTGTAATTCCCCGGGGTCGAGTTAACAAACCACTCTTGTACTATTCGGAGCCAAGTATTATTTACTGAGTACGTCATATATATTAGCAGGAACTGAAACTATAAGCCCTGGGTAAAAAGCTGCCCTCAGCTCCGTATGGATACCACTATACCTTAGACCCACTGCGACATAAACATGCATACATACGACACCCCACCAGTAACGCGCCTGCTGGTCCAGCATATTGATGGGCCAATTTCCAGTGATTGACTTTTACCATCCTCTTACATTTACTTGCTTACCGACGCTGTATGTAGTGTAACCAAGTCTTCATCCGACAAGCAGTGTTTGCTGTGAACTGCTGGAGCGATACCAGGTTACATAATGAATCTGTTCAGACACCGTTCACTATTTTCCGGTAGGATTGCGAGTACTTGGAATGCTCTTCTCGAACAGACTCAGATCTACGTATAATTTACCGCGCATACAAGTTGGTAGCATGTTCTTCCTCAAGCTTCAGTTATAGCCCTGCTCTGACAAATCTCATACAAATGATGAACTGTAGACATTCCAGCTCATGCAGATATATCCGTTGACTGATTATGCTTGTCTCGTACCTTCGTGCAGCTGCACCAGAGCAGGAGTCGATAGGATGTAGCTTATGCCTTAATGCTTCAGTCAAAGTATGCAAGAAGAACTGATGAACGCTTGACGCTTTTCCCCGAGGGCTACGTCAGAACTGGCTCAGTTCGGTGCGAATGTTAACTACTAGTTATCTGATGATCTCAAATCGATTACTGGGGCTAGGGAACTACCAATTCTTGCTGGGAAACAGGATGTGCTAGTTACAACAGCGTCTGTCCCGAAAAGTTGCTCCACCATAAAAAGGATTATGGACCTGCAGCTACCATATTTGCATCTCATCGATCGTTTCCTCAATAGTTCGATGGTCCAGTAGTTTACAGGGAGAAAAAACAATAGCCTCACAAGAAGCATATAATGGCAAATGTACAAGAAAAGCAAAATCAAAATATTCAAGTGTGGAACGTGGCATATCACTAGTCTAGACATTACACCTTACCACACTGTTCTGTAACGTCTATCACAAGGATGCAAGTCCAATAGTCTTTCGAATGTCACAATGTTTGGTGCGTTCCTCACATGGACTGAAAACGCATTCCAGTAAGAAAAGCTTCTAAGAGAGTAAGAAAAGGTTCTATAATCTAAATCGTACCATTGAGTTACTAGTTTCAGGTCACGGCTTCGACATCGGTTGTTAGGATATATGCTCGGCAGTGAATTACATCGATGCTTGTTTTCCCTTGGTATCCGGTATGTGAAAATGAAATCGTGAACCCGTCTGTATTCTGAGGAGAACATGCCTGTTATACGAAGGTGCATTTCGGAATTGAAACTGGGTATTGCACTTGTTGCCTTGGTGACTCGTCTTTGGGTCTCCTCCAGAAGACGAACAGCTCGTTATGGCCATAGAAGCCAGGCTCGAACCGTATATTCAGCGTGAGGACGAATTTACTAATTAATCAGCAGGGATACTATCCGTCGCTGAAAGGCACCAAGAACTCTCATTAAAAGTCTTAAGTTCGAATCCGTCACATTTGCTGCTTTCGAACATTGGAACGCGCTGCCAAAACTGTTTGGAACTATTACATCTAAGTCTCGTTCACCAGCTACGTGTTGTAGAAAGTGCTGTCGTATTGTTAAAGCCGCTGCGCATCGTTATCACTTATCTTGCGGGGTTCAGAGGGAGCTGGATGATGTGAATCTGATCTAGATCATCCTTGCTTTGAATACCACCATTTTGATTCCTTTAGACTTTCACCAACTACTGAGTGTGTGCATAAAACCGTGAGTGACTTAGTACAAGTCGTCCATGGCCTCTATCCGCATACAGATATCCCAGGGCCGACCGCAGTTATAGTGATAAGCATCTCTGGAAATGGACACTGCCAAGCGTTAGTTGCTTTGGACTTTCAAAACTTCTTGATCAGACGCAAATTTTGTCTGGCCACTTCGGTTATTAGCTCTACTTGGTTTATCATTGAACGAATTATGGTTAGCATAGGCCTAAAAGCTCACCAGTTGGTTGGTTGTTTACTAAGCGTTTCATAAAATTTTCGCCCACTTAAATGAACACGCAATTTAAAACCTGCTTAAATACACTCTGCTCCAATTTCCACGCAGGAAGCCATCGGACCAAGATTGAGCACGAGACAACACTATCAATGGAGCGTTGTATCGTTGACTACTTGAACACTCGGTATGCCGATGGGGAATGCGCTACGCACGATAACGCTCGAGTGACCATGTTGAGCAATGCGCTTGAAACTCTTCAAAAGCTGAACAAAGAAACCATGAGGGGTCTATTTACTGGTTTACTTCCGGAACCAGTTGAAGTGATGTTGGAAAGGTCTGTATGGAACAGATAGTTAGGAAGTGAAACATCAAAATTCGTCTCATCTACGATTGCGCTGTTAGGATTATCTCATTTCACCGTTTTCCAAATTCGTTTCTGAGCCATCCGAACCATTCTTTGTTTTGACTTTGACCTACCTGTACCGGTGAACCAATGGATCGTTAAACAAAAACTGCAATTGTGCAATGCTCAATTCGAACCATTTGACTGAGTGAAGCTCCCACATTACCGCAATCCGAAGGCCTACTTTGGGTACGCGTACCTCTAAGTCAAGCGCGTTCAGCACTTGGTACTTCTACTTGTGACACCGTGATTCGGTGATTAAACATTCTGCCTGCATACATTGTTCAATTTCATTTCTGTGCAATCTTTAGGATGATGAATCAATGTGGTTGTTATCACTACAAAGTTAACCTGTGCTGCAAAAAGACCACGGAACTTCAGTTCTTTTATATTCTAGTAATTTGTATCTATATAACCAACTAATATGCTGAGATTGCTTTCGTAAATGAGATATGGTTTGTTTTGACAGCGATATTAAACTCACTGATAAATCACTATATATTCGGGATGTAGTTTACAAATTCAGTTGCTGGTTAGTGAACTATCAGAAATATACTATGACAGCTAAAGCAGTGGACACGGTCCATGAAAATTCTGTTCCCGTAATTTTCAGAACATAGATGCCTCACAGTATCTACCCAGGAAGAATCGTTCAGTTCGCTACTAAATTGCATGGGCTTCGATGGCAATATGTGCGACGACGTAAACAGTGAGGTGACAAAAGGTTTTCCAAAAATTCAGTCAATATGCTAACTTAGAGAAATCAGTATATGCGTTGCCAGGTTTTGAAGTATTTACCAGTATACAATAATTCAGATGCGGTAATGTGCAACGTTTCATCTACAGGTTGATCCGATGGACATTTAGTGTGGTTTCTGCTCGTTTATTGCCCGACCAAAACGTTCCTATGACAATGTTGTATGGGTATCAAGTGTTCGCACCCCACGACCGCAATGAGAACACGAAAGACGAGCCAGGATGGAGGTGTATTTGAGAAATCGACTTCACTTAAGCAGGGTACATCAGTGATAGAAACGAAGCTATGAAAAGAAGTTTGAGTCCGCCAACAACATGGAGGACACTGAATAATACAGGCGAATGAGAGGCGATACACTTCAGGACAAATCACTTTTCTCCGAATAGTTCAGTAGTGTATGATGGGATAAAAAGCATTGGCTTTACAAGACCCATAGGATGGTAAATGCAAAATAAATAAAAATCATTAGATTCCGACATGGAACTGAAATGCCAATAGTCTAAACCTAGTACATCACACCACAATGTGTTGTCTGTCACTCAGATAAATGTCTAACAATTGTTTGAAGGTTGTAATGTTCGGAGCGTTTACCACATGTGTTGGCAAGTCATTCCACTGTGAACAGATTCTAAGAGAGTAAAAATATTTTCTACAGTCTAATCGGGAGTGTTAGATTATCAGCTTGAGGTTATGACCTCTCGATCGCTTATATGAGGCTGAGGTGAGCAGCGATTTGCACGGGTGAGCGCTTTCCGTTACTATCCGGTATGCGAGAATGAGATCTCCGCGTAGTCGTCGGTATTCGGAGGAAAACATTCCGATTAAATTGAGACGCACTTCATAATTGAGACCAGATAATCCGCGTGTTGCCTTCGTAGCTCTTCGTTGGGGCTGCTCTAAGAGATGAATGTCCCGTTTTAACCATGGGCACCAAGCCTGGACGGCATATTCGACGTGGGAACGGATATAGGAGTTGACAAGCATGGGTACCAACCGTCGTTCAAAAACACCAAAAGCTCGCCTCAAAAGTCTCAGGTTCATGTTCGCCACGTTTGCTGCTTTCGAACATTGGAGCGAATTCCCCAGACTTTCTTGCACAATGGTACCTAAGTCTCATTCTGTGGTCACGCGCCGTAAAACGTACTGCCCCAATAGGTACGTGTTGGTAAGATTGCTGCGCAATGACAGTAGGTGACACTTGGCAGGATTCAGGGGGAGGTGCTTTATTTCTGCCCATTTGTTGATTCGATCCAAATCATTCTGGAGGAGGGCACAGTCTGATGTTGAGTGAATAACTCTCCAGATTTTTGCGTCATCTGCAAAAATTTGCATCGAGGATTGAATATTATCCGGGAGGTCGTTAATGTAGACCAGAAAAAGGAGGGGACCAAGGACGGATCCTTGAGGAACACCGCTGGAGATGCAGAAGGTTTCCGAGAGGGCATCGGTGACTCTGACTTGATCGTTCTGTCATGCAAATATGCTGCTAGCCAGGTGAGTAGGGAACCATGGATACCGTAGACACGAAGCTTATGAAGCAGAGCTAAGTGATTGACTCTGTCGAGTGCCTTCGAAAAGTCTAGGTAAATCACATCAAGGGGGGATCCTTCATCAAGCGCTTTGGTCCATGAATCCCGAGCAAGAAGCAGATTTGTGAGGCAAGATCTTTTGCGCCTAAAGCCGTGTTGGAGGTGAGAAATTAGCTTCAGACTATCAAAATATCGTGTAATTTCATCTGCAACTTACGATTCTATTACTTTTGATAAAACAGAGAGGAGAGTAATGGGTCGGTAGTTGGCAGGATCCGATCGCTTACCTCTTTTGTATATCGGAGTGACTATCCCGCTTTTCCACTCAGACGGAAGTGTTTGGGAATTGAGTAGACTTTGGAAAAAGCTTGCGAGGTGTGCTGCTATGGTGGGAGCAAGAGTTTTAAGAACTTTGGGTCTGATCTTGTCGACTCCCGGAGCACTATTTTCGCTTAGAGACCGTAATTTGCTAGCGACAGCTGCTGAGGTAAAGTGACAGTTGGTATGCCGACCACGTTGGGTGAATGCTGGTTTGGCAAAGATTCTATGGCGTTTGCAGTCACTGTGCCAAACTGCAGAAGTAATGTGTTCGCAGCATCCACAGCAGTGGTCGTTAGGCCACCATCCGTCTTGAGTGGTAGTATTCCTGTTTTAACTTTCCTTCTGCTGTTCACGTACCTGTACAGCAGTTTTGTATTGTTCGTGAATTTAAGTACCATGTTTTTTTGCCATTCGTACTTATCGGCTCTAATCAGTGATGTGCAATAGTTCCTCACTATTTTGTAATTCTCCCAGGTGGCGTCGCAATTGTTCAGCGCGTGTTGTCTCCAGATCTCGTCTCTGGTGCTAATCCATTTACGCGTTCTGCTTAGGATCCAGGTGTATGTCCGGCGCGGCACTCGTAATGGTATGACTTTTGAGGCTGCTTGCGTGACGCAGCTAATTTTGTCTTTTAGTTCGTTCCACGCGTCGTCTGCCGAAGAAATGATATTATCGAAAATTGCACCCTGAGACAACCTCCACTAAGAACGACGAAGGACAGGCCAATAACTTAAATAAATGACTCTTTTAAACCATGTTCAAGAAAAGGGCGAGGGCAAAATCAAAGCTTACAGTTAGTAGTTGTCTATAAAAAGTATGTTCATTAGGCAATCTTCTAACCGATAGCCTAAGTCATTAAAATACTCCATCCTACTGGGGACCATTTTGTCGAACAAGTCAAGTCAATATAAGCTTTAGATACACCAGAAGGTACCTTTTAAAGCACTTTACAATATTTACTGCGGATCTCTTAAAATAACATCATTTAAAAATCAAAATTGCACATCGGGAAATAACATTAAGAGTGTGTGTCAGTCAAATAAACAAACGCGAAACAGCATTCGATCCGGACGAGTATTACTTAAATTATGAAACGCCTTCCGGTAAGTTCGCGCGATTCGTGTATTATCTCAAAGTTCATTTTCAAAGATCGATAGGAACAGCGTTAATGACCTTATAACTGCTCTAACAATAGTAAAGGTCAAAAAGCTCAGTAGAAACTGATAAATCTGCAGCAGATATAGTAAGAGTAAGGTTCCAATGAAAAGGCAACAGCCGATTTAAAAGCCCCGCTCACTTTTACGGCAAAGGTTTTCGTGGCCGAAATACTCGTGGATTTTATGACTGTGCCTAGCGACGACGTCATCAGTGCCGTTGAGTGAACTGCTGAACATGTTTTGATGGGGCTGTGATTATCGACTAATTCTACACTATAGCATATGGAAGTGTGCGTTGGTTGGCAAGCGAAGCATACTAGTACTCTGGTAGAGGATCACAAACCCCAGCAATAGAGTAGCGTGCTCTTTCATTAGTTTTGAAGAGAAGAACCGGCTTGTACATGCAGCGGTAGCTTCAGATATTGACCGCATGTTACAAAACTCTTGACAATTACTGATTTCTCTAAGGCACCGTTTTACTGAGCATTGTGCAAACAAAAGCATCAAGAGTCGCGCAAAATAATCAAGGCAATTACAATTTCCCTCAATCTGTATGATCAATATTACATGACTGTAAGCGAAAATTCGAATACTTACGGTGTGCCAACATCACTTCTGTTATTCTGAAAAGCATTTCAGTGTCTGCGTACGAAGTGACCATAAAGCAGTAGTTTGGATCACATGGAGTATGTGGGTGTGTGATTTAGAACGTTAGTAACTTCCCTGACTAAACTGTCCATGGTTTCCTTGGTAAGGCATCAATTCGCCGGTTGGTCAGCGAACCATTACTGACAAAAGGAATCCGCGAAAACTTCTCAACCCGGAACAAATGTGCGTTGTAAACCTTCTAGTCGAAGGGTAGGCACACATGACCCACAAAATTTCTTGCGAGACCCCTGATTAGCTGGCGTGATAACGCCAAAAATGTGATGCCCCTTCTATCTGATACATCAGCAATCTAATAACATGAATAGATTCACCAATCTGGCGGGTACAGTTTCCGTGAGCACTTGTTCGTGGTTGGGATTAGTCTAAACTTCCTTGTAACCAGGGGTGTGTAGCTGATGTGGTGGAATCAGGTACTTCTGTTTCCGTTATGATTCAGTATCAACTAATATCATCACAGCTGGAAGACTGTTCCACTAGGTTTGAAGATTACGCTTTCGGAGCGACAACCACACTGAAC